AAAAAAAAAAAAAGAAAAGAAAAGAAAAAAAAAAAGAAAAAAGAAGAAGAAAGGAAAGAAAAGAAAGAAAGAAAAGAAATGGGTTGTGGAAGCTGGAAAGTGTGTGGGAGATAATTAAATGACTTAGCTGACCCGAGGATGGTGCATTGTAGTTAACAGTAAAGAAAGTTTGAAAGTATAAGGAACAGACATCCCAAGACCGACTGTCTCGTGGCGTACTGCTGCGCTGCGGGTCCTCCCACCCAGGTTCCTCCCACCCAGGCCGAGACTCCGGGTGTGGAGAGCAGCTCACACACTGTACTGAAAACCAGAACCTGAAGTAAACTATGCTGGATGCTGAGCCTCCCCCATTCAGCCTCCAGAAGACTAACCAGAAAAGACTTCAGTCTTCCAGGCTCAGGGTTAAAGGATCATCTGTAGACTCTCTTTGACAGGAAATCCTACAAACACAAGTACTGGATGTTCTCTAAATGGCTCACAATCAACAGCCTCGTTTATGCATTTAGAGCCTCCAGTTGGCATTCAAGTGTTCCCACTTAAGATACGATTTAGATAAAATGTGCGGAAATAGAATTGGAAGCCTGTTTCTGGTGTGCCACGGGCACATGTGGAGGCTTGTGCTTGATATCAGGTGACTTCTGTCAGTCACTCTTCCCCACTCTTGACTGAGGTGGGGTCTCCCTAAACCACAACTCGACAGTCGTGACTGTCTGCCGTCAGTTTACCCTGGGTTCCTCTGTCTGTGCTTCCCAGGCTTTCACACAGGTTCTGACACTTGGGGTAAGCCCCTTTTCACTGAACCATGGCCCAGCTCCTGATCCTGTTTTAAACCAAGATTAGCAGACATCTAAAGAGAGTACTTAAAAGGTGGTCCAACTGTTTCCTGTTCCACAAAGAAACAGACAGAAAAGGTCAACTGGAGGGAAAACCAGTGTACAGGGAGCAGAACTTTGATAATAATGTAATATGTTCAAGTAAAAAACCATATTTTGCCCAGCGTGGTGGTATGTGTCTTTAATCCCAGCACTTGGGAGGCAGAGGCAGGTGAATCTCTGTGAGTTTGAGGTCAGTCTGGTCATTATAGCAAGTTCCAGGACAGCCAGGGAGAGACCCTGTCTCAAAAAGAAAAAAAGGAATTACAACAGATTTGAGAGGATCCGTGTAGAAAGTCTAGTGTCTAAATCACAAGAGTCACAGAAAGAGAAAAGGGCACAGTCAAGATAAACACTTGACAGTCCCAGAACTGAAAAACACTGCCACTCCTACCGAAAGAAAACCCACTGAATATTCAGTACAACAGATGAGCCCGATCCACCCAAAGAGAGCAGGAGATTTCAAAGAGAAGAGCCCATGAGTTTGCAGAGAGGAAAAAATAACTCATGGAAGGTTCAGGAACGACTAGGAAAGCAGTGTTAGCGGATAACAGGCGATGGTGTGATGCCTTCCACATGCTGTGGGAAATGAGTTCTAACCCAGCACTCCAGCCAAGCACGTGATAAATCCGAGAAGGATGAGGGTAGAATAGCGACATCTGCAGGCTCCCAGGTCTCAAATGTCCTCCATACCCGTTCCTTCCTCAGAAAGCTGCTGGAAGATAGGCCCTGTGAAAACAAGGGGCAACAATAAAGTGTGTAAACAAGGGATACAAGAAACAAGAGTCCAGACAGAGGAAGGTATGGAAGTGGCCTCCTGGACAGTGGGAAGGAAAGACCAAGGTGGCAGGGCAGAAGTCTTCAAGGAGACATCTTTTGATATTCCAAAGTGATAGAATAATGCTTCTGAATTTCCCGAGATTCGACTAATTGGTAGGCTTGGGTTTGAATCAGTTGTGAGTACTGCATATATAGAAAATTTGAACACACAAAAGAATAAGGCCAGTGTTAACTCCAGGGGTGATAGAAAGTACCAAAGAAAGAAAATGGCTTTTATTTACTTATTATTGTTTTCAGTTGTGTGTGTGTGTGTGTGTGTGTGTGTGTGTGTGTGTGTGTGTGTGCGCGCGCGCACATCCGAGTGCAGGTGACTGACCACACAGAGGCCACAGGTGTCTGATGTCCCTGGAGCTGGAGTTACAGGTGTTGTGGGCCGTCTGATGTGGCACTGGGAAGAAGAGCAATGTCGCCTTAGCCACTGAGCCATCTCCCCAGCTCCAAGAAAAAGGTTCTTATTTAACTTAGCTCTGACAAAGACTATTTGGTCAAAATGGTTTAAATACTGATGTCACCAGCATTAGGATTTAACTCCCGGAAGGATGGGGGCTGCAAAATGAAGGCACTTGATGTCAGTTTGGAAAGAGAGCTCACAGTTCTTGTCTTTTTAGGAAGGTAATGATGGAAAGTGAAATGAAGTCAGAGAGCGAGCGGCAGTGTGAGCATGCACAGGAACAAGAGCAGTCTGGGTGCGGGGGTGCACACTTGGGACCCCAGTACTCAGGCCAGGCAAGGTGTGAGACCGGCTTTGTAGTGTGTTTGCTCCACCCATGACCTTGGGCTATAGGGCGGGAAGGAGGTGGTGCTTCCCGCCTTCCCAGTGACCTGTCAAAAGACAGGCAAGGTGGCTCAGCTGGTAAGAGCACCGACTTCCATTCCAAAGGACCCAGGTTCAATTCTCAGCACCCACACGAATGCATCTAGCCTCAGTGTGCTATCACGCCCAGGAGCCACATGGCCCTTCTCTCCTCTCCTTTAAAGAGGTCACGACATAGCTTGAGCTATATAGTAAGACCCTGGCTTTAAAAAAAAAAGCACTGGCTGGAGAGATTGTTCAGTGGCAAAGAGCACTGGCTGCTCTTTCAGAGGACCTGGGTTCAATTCCCAGCACCCATATGGTGGTTCACAACTATCTGTTGGCCTCCAAGGATACCAGGCATGCAGGCAAAACACCCGTACACATAAATAAAAATGAAAAGCTAAAAAAAAAAAGCACTGTCAAGGCCCCTCAAGAGATATTCCCTCAGTGGGTGTATTATTTCATACCTGTAAGAGCTAGAGGCAGGAAGATCAGCTCAAGGTCATTCTTGGCTACATAGGGAGTTTGAATCTTGCTGTGTTACTTGAGAACCTGCCTCAAAAATAAAAATGAAACTGATAGGAGCCACGTGTGGTAGTGTTTGTCTATAATCCCATCACTGGAGAGACACACGGGGATCTGGGCTTCATTCTGCTTTCAGAACTAGCCCGTCCCAAAGCCTGTCCCGAGATATTGAGGGCTGGGAATGCAGTGTAGTGGTGTGATGCTTGCCCGACGTTACCTAGGTTTGCTCCCTAGCACTGGGAGAAAAAAACTACTAGATTTCTTTCTTTCTTTCTTTCTTTCTTTTTTTTTTTTTTTGAGGCAGCATTGCTATAGCACTGGCTGTAGACCAGGCTGGTCTCCAATTCAGACATCCCCCTGCCTCTGCCTCCTAGGTGCTGGGATTAAAGGCGTGCAAGACCACCACCACCTGGTTTTTTGCTTTTTTGAGACAGGGTTGCTCTGTGTAGCTTTGGTGCCTGTCCTGGAACTCACTCTGTAGACCAGGCTGGCCTGGAACTCACAGAGATCCGCCTGCCTCTGCCTCACTAGTGATGGGATTAAAGGCGTGTGCCACCACTGCCCGGCTTAGAAATAATTTTTTAAAAACCAGCTGGGGTGCTGGGAGTCTAGTACAGAATTAGGCAGGGCTCAGCGTATTTCTTGCCACTCACTCAGTGATATGACCTTGAACAGTTCATTTAACTGGTCTGCATGTGTTTTCTCACCTAAAACCCAAGGATAATACTTAATAGAACAATAAGCATTCAGAGATGCAGGTTGTTGTTGTTGTTGGTGGTGGTGGTGGTGGTAGCACTCAACTTTAATCCCAGCACTCAGGAGGCAGAGGTAGGAAGATCTGAGTTTGAGGCCAGCCTGGGCTACAGTGAGTTCCAGGACAGCCAGGGCTACACAGAGACACCCTGTCTTGAAAAAAGGGGGGAAAGGGGTGGGATGTTAAATGATGCAGCACTTTTAAGTATATATTATAGTACATAGAACATCCAGAGTATTGTTTTACAGGGTTGCCTTTCCAGTTTAGAGCAAGCAGTTAAAAAACATGGGCTGCCAGGCATGGCGTTGCATGCCTGAAATCCCAGCACTTGGAGAACTAAGGCAGGAAGATTACTACAGGCTTGAGGCGAGCCAGGACTACATAGCAAGACTCTATCTCAAGAAAATGAAGGGGCTGCAGAGTTGGGTCAGCAGAAGAACACTGGCTTTTCTTCCAGAGGACTCAAGTTCAATTCCCAGCACCCACATGACAGCTCACAACCGTCAGTACCTCTCAGGGGCTCCAACTCCCTCTTGGCCTCATCAGGCACCAGGCACACATGGCGCACAGATATACAAGTAAACACCATACACACAAGAAAAAAATTATTTAAAAATCAAAACCAAAGACCTTACAGTTATTTAAGAAGCAAGAAAAGAAATGTGTAAACCAGAAGAATGGAGGTGAATGTAGCCAGGCCCTCCCTGAGGGTTTCTGACTCACACCGTGGTGCTGAGCGTTCTGGCCAAGGAGAGTGAGCACTTGGCATTGTTAGAGATGTCCTTGCCGAACCAGGAGTTTCCCACCTGCAGGTCGTCAACAAATGTAAAGAAGTTTGCTTGATATCTCATCTTCGTTAAGAAAAGATAAATGAAAAATGTTAAGTAGGAAGAAAAACTCTAATGAAAAGATGAGAAACAATACAAACCAAAACTCCCTTCCTTCGGAGTTGAGAAACTGGAACTCTTTTTTTTTTTTATTTCTATCTCTTGTGATTGTGAGTTCTTGCATAAAAGAAAGACACCACCTTTCCGCCTTTTCCCCTGTGCAGAGACCCTGGAATCGAACAACGGCGTGTACACTTCCTTCATGAAGTCTCACCGCTGCTACGACCTGATCCCCACAAGTTCCAAGTTGGTTGTGTTCGATACTTCCCTGCAGGTGGGTCAGGTCCCTTTTCCCCGTTCCCCAGAGCCGCTGGTTCCATGCCCCGTCGTCACACTTGGTGCTTCCACGCGCCAGCCCTGCTTTCTTACCACACGCCAGCCCTGCTTTCTTACCACACGCCGACCCTGCTTTCTTACCACGCGCCAGCCCTGCTTTCTTAGCGCCTTAGGATCTTACTCTCTTGGCTATAGGTGAAGAAGGCCTTCTTTGCCCTGGTGACTAACGGTGTTCGAGCTGCCCCCCTGTGGGATAGTAAGAAGCAGAGTTTTGTGGGTAAGCAGAAGTTTCTGGAACACGCCCGTTGGCATCTTTTGCCGGTCAAGAAGATGCCTTGAGCTGTGCTGAGAGCTCTTGTCTTGGCTTCTAGGAATGCTGACCATCACTGACTTCATCAATATCCTGCACCGATACTATAAGTCAGCCTTGGTAAGGCAGTGAGCCTCCAGAGCAAACCACACCCTACCTCTGGTCCTCACCTGGTGCCCATCATGCCTGGTTTTCCCTCCAAGCAAAGCCCCTGGGTTAATGAAAAGGGAGAGCAAGTCTCTGATCTGCTGCTTCTGCTTCTAGGTACAGATCTATGAGCTGGAAGAACACAAGATAGAAACTTGGAGAGGTACGTAAGGAATAGAGGTGGTGAGGGATGGAGGGCTTCCTGGGAGCCACTTTACGGGGCAGTGTTTTATGAACCACCCCTTTCCCTCCAGAGGTGTACCTCCAGGACTCCTTCAAGCCACTCGTCTGCATTTCTCCAAATGCCAGGTCAGTTCCGGCTGTGTGTCCATCCCTCAACCCCTGGAGGCCGGAGCAGGGAGAGGGAGGACTTCTTCCAGTGTGCACAGCCGTGCCTCATCTTCCCCATAGCCAAGCCTGGCCTTGATCGTAATCTTACTGCAGAGCTCAGGCTGGCCCGAGTTACGATTCTCCCGCTTGTCCCTCACGCTGGCGGGACACACACCACACACCCAGCCACATCACTCCACGTTAAGTCTGGTCGAGCACTGCCCTTTCCTCGGACCACGAGTTTCCCTGTCCGTAAACACACTGTAAGGAGCGGTACAGTTTAACGCCGTGGAACCTAACCTTGACCTTCTACCTTTTCGTAGCTTGTTTGACGCTGTGTCTTCATTAATTCGAAATAAGATCCACAGACTTCCGGTTATTGACCCAGAGTCAGGCAACACCCTGTACATCCTTACTCACAAGCGCATCCTCAAGTTCCTCAAGTTGTTTGTAAGTGCACTTAACGCAGCTCACATGTCTTATATGCTGGATTGGAGGCACACACTCAGCAAATTGGGGGGCCTTAAAAGTCAAGCCGAGTCAGTGTTTGGGTTCTGAGGATTGAACCCAGCACTTCGTGCTCTACCACAGAGCCCCCTGAAAGCCGATGATTCTTCCCTCAGATCACTGAGTTCCCCAAGCCCGAGTTCATGTCTAAGTCTCTGGAAGAGCTACAGATCGGCACCTATGCCAACATCGCTATGGTGCGCACGACCACGCCCGTCTACGTGGCGCTGGGCATCTTCGTTCAACACCGAGTCTCCGCCTTGCCTGTGGTGGATGAGAAAGGTGAGTGACTGGGAAAGAAGGGGGGGGGGGGTTCCCAGCTCTGGGAAAACCTGCTTCCTCTCAGCTCGGCTGGAG